GTTTGTTGTTTGTTGTTTGTTGTTTGTTGTTTGTTGTTTGTTGTTGTTGTTGTTGTTCATGTGAATTCTTTACTCATTATATGGTACCATAAAGACATCCATCATTCTACAGCTGGTAAATTACATGGTAATAGGCTAAAAAGGGTGATTTTATTAATGTTGATAACTAATGGCATACGATCAAAACAATTCGTAATTGATGCGGTTAGTATATGGATTTCCTATACTAAATTAGACTCCAATAATCACTTAACCACTTTTCCGCCGAACACACTAATCCTTTCCATTTCCAAGCTCTTTCTCTATCCCTCAAGCCATTAGTCGAGATCTTTTAAATCCTTCAACACCCTATCATCAGGCATTTTCGTAATGTTGTAATCCAAATGATGTCATGCTGTACGCAAATAGGATTTTCATGAAAGATGTAATAACATTCCCAGGCGTATGACTAGGTACTGCTAACATCACGCATTTTACTGGTTTTGGATTTCTATTTTCTTTTATTTTCAATGCTGAATGCAAAAGATATAATGAATTTATGATTGACAGAGCTATACTGTAAATGTGTCATATGCTTTTGTCATAGTGCTGCTATAGTTCTTTAAAGTTTAAAAAATTAAAGCCACTGAATCTGCGAGCGAACCTTATTTATGCCCGAACAATTACGTAGTTACAAATACATTGTTTGAACGATTATTCACTTTATGAAGTTAGAGCAGTAGAAAAGAAGTAGTATTTGACTAAGACCATTAAGTTTATGTTTTTATTCTTAGCCGTATTAGTAAAATACTTTTCAAATACCCATTGATTGGTTTGCTCGCTCATTTCCAAAATCAGTTATTTCCCAGACGTATTTTTCACATTAATAGTTTAAACTATTCTTTGAATATTTTTTTGTCAAGAGGATTAACTGTAATATTGCCCTGCTCAAAATTATATTTGCGCAGAAGAGCAAATCACTGAGCTTTTATTTAATATCGAAGAATTGCTGAATTACAATAGTGTTCTTTCGTCCAAATGAAATATTGAAATTTCGAATACTTTAGTTAAAGGAAGAAGCGAAAAGCATAAAGTTTATTTGTGGCTAAGGTTTTTGAACTCAGTTACGACTAAAATTTAGCAATGAAAATATCAAGTGACAAGTATTTGTTTTATGACCAAAACTCCTTTGGAGCAGCAAGTCAAGAATTCCACCATGATCGTAATTATCAAGAAACTGTTGATGATATCTTTGTTAAAAATATATTTCAGAGCAGAAACTGCGTTTTGTATGAAAAAAAGCCATACAATTGATTACATTTTGCTGTTTTACCATCACCTATTTGGCGTAAATATTTTTAGTCGAATCGCGCTCTGCTTTCAGTATGTTTCAGTCGTTGTATATTTGTTTTTATTGATATAAAATGTTCGATAGAAAATTCATCAATTAATTACAATCTAATACTTTGGGATTACATGTTTATCAAGGTTATCACAAAAGAGACCACAAAATTAATACTTCTATATTGTTTTGCATTTGTTCGCTTTGATGCTGCTTCAGAAAACGATTTTCGTTTCGCTTGATGTCATCAGTGTATGTAGGTTACGACTATTCATGTAGAAATATTAATTAATAAAATCAGAATGGAATAATGAAGGTTGTTTTATGTGATTACTTTTCAAGAGACTAATTTCTGCTTCATAATCTGTATTACACTCATTTATAGTAATACTCATATCAAAGAAATATGTTCTCGCTTTTCAATAAAATTCCCAGTATAACTTACCAAAATTTTGCATTGCGAGACTGTCTAGTTGACCTCCACAATTTCATTCAATGTAATTCAACACTTCGGAGGAATCAAAATCTTTTCTTATGACTTTATCAAATTAAATGAACCGAAAATTACTATTTTAAAATCTAGCGCTGTTTTTGAGTGTTTTTGACAAGCCTTCTAGAAAGTGAGCTGTTATTGTTAAATAAACATTAAAAATTTTTATGAACGCCTTTTAAATATGTTACGTCAATGTTAAAAGCTCTATGGAATCATTTGACCTTATTCGTTGCTTGGACATATCTGATATCACTATATTGCTTTTGTTTGAGCCTATATTTTTCGTGCAAGTAACTGATACTGCAATAAAAAGAGAATGGTAGTATTATGA